AGGAGCAACCCTGCTGCAAGGCGTTGCTCCAGTGACGACACACACAAATTAACATTCACCGATCCAAACGGGGTTAGATCGCCGAAAGGACAGCCCATGGWCGGATGAAATCCGAGTCAATTCCGGTACGTAGAACCGGCTGTCGTGGGAATTGATGAAGGTGTTCTCAGTAAATGGTGTGAAGCGGACCCAGTTAGCTTTGTTAAATTTGTCCAAAGAAACGAAATTCATCGAGATAATTATTGGCAGATGGTCTGATGTGAGAGTTAGCATACGGCGCCAGGTTTTGCTATTTATCAGACCATCGCTAGCAATGGTAATATCGGGCGAGCTATTACAGGTACCCAATTCCATCCCCCTTTCACAGGCAAGAATGCCAAAGATCGTGGTGCGCGTTAAACTCGCCTTGTACCAAACGGGTTTCACCATGAAGTAATGTTCCTATATTCGAGAGATATCCTGTAGGGCAACATGTAACTGGGGGGATGTATATATTAAATATTTCGAGCTCGACATCGCCTGATCGGATAGCTGTACTTAGACATAGTAAGGTAGTATCCCTGCAATCGATGTATCCGTCGATTAGACGATATTGCACGGTGCGATCTTTACGGAAAACGTTGAAACCGGTGGAACTTTGAAGATCTGAGTGGTTGTTTAGCTTCGTTTCTTGGACCGCAGTTATCGATACGCGATCCCGGTTTATAGGTGCAACCATCTCCTCGATCTTGCTCTGCAGTCCGTTGCAGCAGTGAGTGATTGTGGGAGTGAGGAAGTGGTGTGTAGGTGGTGTCTGTTGCAGTTGTAGAACAGCGGCGGTTGTCCAACTGTGGTGTTGGTTGGCGACTTGCTAAGAACATGTCTTCGAACTTTCTCCGTGATCTATGTGAAAATGGACGAAATGAGATGATAACCATGCTCACTCTCTCTACTAAAAGTGTGATCAATCATTCAGGAGAATCCAAGACAGAATTGCTTAGCTATCAGAATTGCAAACCAATTCTGATTTTCTGTCACAGAATTTGTTTAGATTTTCGTCTTTTTGAACATACACAAAACCAATTTAGAATCAGCTGTTTACTAATGTGACAAAACTTGTAAATTAACACATTTGGATGCAATCCTACTAAAGTTTTTTAATGAGTTCCGACTTAAAGAAAGATTTTAAGAAACAACATTTATCGAATGAGTAAATACGGATTTGGGGGTTAAATTAAAATTTAATATCTTTAAATATCTGGAATTTTTTTTTTCAAAACTCAATAATTACGACATTTCGTGTTTTATACTTGTGTTTTCTCCTATAGAAATAAATATAAATTAATTCGAAAAAATAAAATAACTTGATTTCTTAACATAAGTTTCAAATTTATGAGCGACTATCTTCTTACTTTGTTTTTGATAGCAAAACCGATAAAATTTGTTTCCGTGACACCCAAAATCGATACAAATTCTGTTTCGAATATCAAACCAATAATATCTGATTTCATGGCATCTACTATTTTTTTTTTTATCGGTTTTAATTCTGATTCCGACAACTACCACATTCTACAACACCCCTCATTAAGTAAATGGTTCACAGTTTTTATACTCAAGGTGGTACGCCAGGGCTTGTTGTTGTATTTTTTTTGGAATTACCCGGCCAAGAACCCAATTTGTGTGTAATATTATTTTGAATTACTCCTAGCCTACCACTACCTCTGACAATTTAAGAATTTCTTACTTCTGATTAGATTTATACCGTTCTCGCAATAGTCGGGTATGTAACCGGAACGTAACTGTACTGTCAAACCGGCAGCACACCTACATTTGGTAGTCGAAAAAGTCTTTTCGTATTTTGTCAATAGATGTCGTTGCAGTCGTATATCTTCAGTGCTACCAATAAAATTGTGTCATACCATATAGTGTTGGGAAGGTGAGATTTTAAGCTTCATTTAGCCAAAAAAAAAAAAAACAAAGTAATGCCACGCAATCCACCAATGAAATTTGTGAAGTTTACGGACACGATGCTGTATCAGTTCGTGTAGGACAACAATGGTTCGCTCGCTTTCGTACTGGAAATTTCTATTTACACTCTAGCGGAAAATTGGCTTAAAGTGGTCGACCAAATATTGTACATTTTTTTTCATTTATAAGAATAAATATTAAAAATAAGTTGAAGTTTGATTAAAAATGCGAAAAGGTTTTTTTGACTTCCCTATATTTTCGGAATGTTTTCGGCCGCTAAAATAACAGCATACCGTATACATCGGTCAATATACACGTTATCTTATCTAAGTTATGTGAACACATTATGTAGGATATATTATAGTTTGATGAAGATGTAATTCGGTTCACGAATTAGATCATCATTCATACATTACATATAATCTTTCCCCTTTTCTAGAAGACTTTATTTTTATACTCTTGTTTCATTTAATTTTTTATTTTTTTCAAGATAACTAAGTTAAGAGTTGAACACTGCTCTGTTTATACAAATTGCTCCACGTGCTTGGAATCACGTGACCCATTTTGTGGTTGGTGTTCCTTGGAAAAACGATGTACTGTACGATCTACATGTCAAAAGGACACTTCTGCTGCTCGTTGGCTCTCTTTAGGAAGTGGTCAACAATGTATCGATTTCGAGTCTGTTGTTCCGGACAAAATACCGATATCAGAGCGAACAGAAGTGCAGTTAATTATACGTACTTTGCCAGAACCACTCAATGCTAAATATCGTTGCGTTTTTGGAAATTCTACTCCCATCGATGCTGATGTTATTGAAAATGGATTAGCTTGTATGACTCCACTACTAGATGAAAGGCCTAATATACTTCCAAATATGGACCATGTTTTTGTTCCACTGGCTGTTCGAAGTTCTGAAACAAATAAAGACTTTGTATCACGTTCATTTGCTTTTTTTGATTGTTCGCGACATAACACCTGTCAGAACTGCGTTCGGAGTATTTGGGGTTGTAATTGGTGCATTTATGATAATAGGTGTGTACATCGAATGGAGCAATGCAGGAATATAGAGAACGTAATTGCAAATGAAAAACTCTGCCCCCACTTAAAATCCTTCCGCCAACCGATATTACTACCTGTACAAGTGCCAAAGGAAATACGACTAGAAATTGAAAACCTACCGAAGCCAAAAAGTGCTCATTCAGGATTTCTGTGCACAGTTCAAATAGAAACATCACAAATGCTTTTACCAGCGCGAATTGAATCTAATAATATTGTAGTTTGCGAAAAAACTCTGGTACGTAATTAACTTGTGAAATTTTTAATTTAACTCTAATTTACATGTACATTTAGTATTTCTACGAAACAAATACACGTGAATATGAAGCCAAAGTGGATATTACATGGAATCGCCAACATTATGTCGATACGGCAACGATCATTCTATACAAATGTGATGTATTGGGCTCACATCGGGAGCATGCCGATTGCAGTTTATGTGTTACAAGAGACCCGAAATATCAATGTGCGTGGTGTGGTAATTCATGTGTCTACAATGAAACTTGTTCGAGTGATATATTGGAGCAGTCAGTGGTAATGTACGGCTCGCCATATTCGTTAGTTCGTTCACATGATTGCCCTCGTCCCCGCATTGACATGATTAAACCATTATCAGGACCAATTGAAGGCGGAACCTTAGTTATTATTGAAGGTAGCAATCTTGGTATACGAGAAGACGATGTTCGAGGAAAAATATCGATTGGCAAGGTTCCATGTGAATTGGTTAATTATGAAATTTCTGTAAAAATTGAATGTCGTACTGGCCCTGTTGCGCATGAGCTCTCTGCTCCTATAAAAGTTGCAAACGAAGCTGGCTATACAGAGTCTAGTGTCCAGTTTCACTACAAGAATATACAACTTATTGGACTACAACCAACACTAGGACCTAGGTCAGGAGGTACTCAAATTTCCCTTATGGGAAAATATCTCAACATCGGGTCACGTATACGGGCTTTTCTGGATGAATATGAATGTCATATAAATGTTACTCAAGCATCCTCCTCCCGCTTAACTTGCATTACTTCCGAAGCTACTCAACCGGAACCGATACGAACTTTACATTTAGTCATAGATGGTGCTAATCGTACATACACCTGCAATAATCCACACACTCGACAGCAAGAAAGATTGAACAGCCAACAACATGTTGTATCCGCTGAATTGGATTACAATCACCACTATCTTACACCCACGCCACGAGTATGTTCCATATTTAATTATACACAAGATCCGCGTATAATGCAAATAAAACCCTTACGAAGTTTTATAAGTGGAGGAAGGGTAATGACAGTACATGGCCTACATCTCGACTCCATACAGAAGCCGGAATTAGAAGTAATGATTGACAGTGAGCGTGTAAATAAAAGTGCTTGTACTGTCATAAACTCTAATCGGATGGAATGCCCATCACCAGCAGTTAATTTAAAATTTTTGGAGTACAAAGCTTTTTTAGACCAAATCACAACAGCGGTCGCTAACCCAGCTGTTTCACCACTTACTAAATATACTTTTGGTACCATTAATAAACGTAGTCCACAAAGTAAAGATACCACATATGTATACCCATCGACAAGCAACACTGCTAGTGGTTACTTTCCTGGAACCAGCGATAGTTCTGATGTTACCGCTTCTACTAAAATACGAGAAGCACAATTAAGTCTTCAGGTAGGCTTTATTATGGACAATGTGCAGTGGGTACGCGATTTAAACAAATATTTTCAAAGTATACGTAGCATCATGGTTTACGTGCCTGATCCGAAGTATACTCCGTTCCCGGGAGGTATTAAGTTGTATAAAGGCGATACCCTGGTAATAGAAGGCGAACAATTAAACATTGCTGCTGATGAGTATGACGTAAATGTAACAATTGGTACTATGCGGTGTAATATTACAAGCTTAGCGCTAAACCAATTAGTTTGTATTCCTCCAGAAAATCAGCCAGTTCCAACTGACGAAAGTGGAGCGGAGCAGCCAAACTCTTTGCCTTTAGTAGTTGTAAAAGTCGGCCGTAATCTACGTTTTGTTATCGGTCATTTAAAGTATGACTTACATAAATCATACACATTTTCTAATGCCCTAGTAGCTATTATTGTAACAGTTGTCACCGCATTAGCAGCTTTGTTTGTAGTTCTAATTATCTATAGAAGAAAATCAACGCAGGCGGAACGTGAATACAAACGAATTCAAATTCAAATGATTACATTGGAAAGCAATGTGCGTTCAGAATGTAAACAAGCATTTGCCGAATTGCAAACCGATTTGACTGATTTGACCGCTGATTTAGAAAGTACTGGCATACCTACGCTCGACCATGTCAATTATATAATGAAAGTGTTCTTTCCTGGAGTTTCCGATCACCCAATTTTGGTAGCACCGAAGGTAAATGTATATATATTTCTTGGTATACTATAAATTCGATTAAATTTGTGTAGCCGAAATTTCACAGATTTTTGTTATTGTTTTACTATGACATTATTTTGTGAAAATGCCAAAACTTTTCCTATTTTCTCTTCCTAATTTTTATACTCTCAGAGCATTTTTGTCCGAAATACAAAAGTTTTACTTATACCGCTCAGACAATCGGCTTTGGTTAGGTTAGATAGGCAACTCGCCCCCAAAATGTCGTTACTCGAAAAATATGAAGCGCTATAACCAAAACCTGGTACTGCTGATAAGGGGGACCTTGACATGTTTCTAAAAATTTTAATTTGACACTTTTCTTTTAATATACGCTGTAAATTTGTTACATTGTATAATTGACATACATGAAACAAATTTTTGATATAGCATCATTTTAAATTTTATTAGATTCTCTCATTTTACGATATATAAAACAAGCACCAATAAAGATAGGAATAAAACTTTCCGCATATAGTGCTTCCCTAAAAGGGACACAACTTAGCTATCAATGGCAGAACAATTAATGGGATAGTTGTTTCATTCTTTTTAATTTTTTTTTTTTGTAGAAAAATTAAGTAATCCATATAAATATGCAGTTATGTATTTTGCCTAGATCGTTTATATCAGGGATGGGTACATTTTTAGCCCGCAAAGTGCGCATGAGGGCTGGAGGAGGGTAATATCGGTTTACGGAGGTAAGGGCAAAAGAAGTTGCAACAAAATTAGTTACATTCCTGCGTAGCTTAATGTTCATCGGAGAATGGTTGCGGCAATACTGACATTGTAAAAAAAAATTATATAAGTTATACTTGTATCTAAGAACAATTTCATTTAATAAGAGAACTGCACATTACAACTTTACAACACCTTATGGTTGTTCCTATTTTGTTCGCACCACTGTACATGTGATAGAACAGTTAATGGTGGTGATGCCAGTTGTAAAAATTCATTTTCGCTACAATTGGGTAAACTTTTCGCAAGTTGTGTTTATACGTACATACATACCTATGCAAGGCAGTTTTACATATCTGCATATATAAAGAAGAAAATATACTTGTGACCATAATATATATTTTGTTTAAACATATTGAAGTTCCATTTAATGAAAATGCTTATATAAATAAATAATTTGTGATATTTTCAGTTTGGCTGTTTTATCAAAATATTCAAAGAACTGAGGCTTTTTCTATAATTGTTTTGTTAAATTTTAAAAATCTAAGTTGCCTCTAGAAATGTATTAAAATAATAATACGCGCTATAGAAAAGGAACACATATTTTCAAAAGTATAAGAAGTCATCATATAAAAATATATTTGCGCGGTATGGGCATTATTGATTGAGAGTGGCTAAGCACACAAATAGAATGCAAACGCTAACGGCAGAAACATCGAATTCCGCTTCTCCCTTCGCTACGAGCGGCAAGCGTTTTGTTCTCGTTTTCATTCGAACAATGTTGCCATTGCTCTGTACGCATATGTAGTTTTTACACATCTAACTTTTCAATTAAAATTTTTCATATTATAAAATATCAAAACTGAAATCAAACAATTAAAAATTATATATTTTTAAATAATAGCATTCGATTCTGATTTTGAGTTTGAGAAAATTTCGAACATATTGAAGAAATTTTTTTATAATTACTACAGTATGTCGATATTGGCAATCCTGCGTTGTGAGAGAGCAATCTGCTGACTTGTTTCTACGGGGAAAACCCTAAATCGTTGGAAATTCTATGGTAAGCGGGCGGTAGAAGCACTATTGGCCAATCATTCACATTGCTCTCATAATATTCATTTGGGCATATGTGTTCGAGGAAACAGTGGTTCATAAACAGAACTTATTATTGAAATTACCTTTTATAAGGAAATAAGGGTTTAAAGAAATAACCTGGTTTGAAACTTTTTGATTCGAAAATTACATCTATGTTTGGAAGTACCTACACTTGTGAACAATTTTTTCAGTAATGAAATTAAACAAACATAAAATAAGAAGTAGGTTTTCTGATTTAAATTTTGGTACAATAATGCGTGTAGCTACGGCAACTGAGATTAAACCAAACATAAAATTTATTATTTCAAATAAAGTAAATTAAATGCTGTTATAAAGGCATATTAAAAAAAATATTACTAAAATAAAATATATATTATACTTTTTGTTATTTGTCTTACATTTTATAAATTTATAGTAGTTACAAAGAAACTTAAAATTGTTAGGCAATTTTAGTGTTATTACCCACAAGTCAACTTCCCATATATGTGCGCCCTCTCGTTTGTAAACATGGTGTGCCGGAATACGTTGCTCTCACTTGTAAATATGGAGTCGTAAAATACCTTGCTCTCACTTTACTCTTCATCTTTGCCCGCGGTGATCCCCTCATCTAGCCCTCAAAATGTGCACTCGTGCCCAAACGGGAAAAATGCCCCTGAGGGATAATATGCCCACCCCTAGTTTATATGGTAAAATTTATTTAAAAATACAGTCCGTTTTTTACGGCGTCTTCACCGTTTTGCTCCTTCGATCCTTTTTAAGTAAACATTTTACCAAAATACTTAATATGCTTTTACATCAATAATTACATTTCTTATATTTAATTTCACAATTATTTTTTTTTAGCTAAGAATGAATATTCCCCATAGTCCATACGATACAGCCATGCTTCAATTCGAACAACTGATAAGCAACAAATATTTTGTACTGACATTTATTGAAACACTGGAATCTCAGAAAACGTTCACTATCCGCGACAAGTAAGTAATATAGTATTTGAATTAAACATAAATTTATATTTTATTCGGGTAGAGTTAATGTTGCATCGCTGTTAATGATCGTTTTGATGAATAAAATGGAATATACCACAGAGATTTTGAAGTGTCTATTATTACGTTTAGTAGATAAGTCAGTAGTGGGAAAGTATCCGCAGTTAATGTTGCGCCGTACTGAAAGTGTTGTCGAAAAAATGCTTACCAATTACATGGCGATTTGTATGTACGACTATTTAAAGGAATATGCTGGTGCAAGTTTGTTCTTATTGTTTAAAGCCATCAAACATCAAATAGAGAAAGGTCTTGTAGATGCTATAACACATGAAGCACGGTACTCGTTATCAGAAGAGCGATTATTACACGAGCAAATCCCACATTCTGTTGTGATGCTACACATAGTGCAGGATGATCTTGATGAAAAAGTCCAGTGCAAAGTACTTGATTGGGATACTATTTCACAAGTAAAATCGAAGGTACTGGATGCTCTTTTTAAAAATACACCTTTTTCCTGCCGACCTTCAGTGAATGAAGTCGATTTAGAATGGCGTCATGGTCGTGGCGGTCACTTAACATTGCAAGATGAGGATTTAACTACCAAGACAATAAATGGATGGAAACGCCTAAACACTCTGGCCCATTACGGTGTGAAGGAATCTGCAGTTATGTCGCTGATAGCACGTCAAGGGGATGGTTTTAATACACATTACAATAAAAATCAGCAATCGTACCATAATTGTAATAAAACATAACCATGAAACAATACATATTTAACTAATGAGATATTTTTGCAGTTTATTACATTAATAATTCGCAATCCCAAATTATTATTAACAATGACATCGAAAGTGGACCACAGCAACCGCGAGTGTATCATTTGGTGAAACCAGTAGGGAATGATCATTTTATGAATATTAAAAATACTGCCATTTCTGGTGGTAACGTAACTTCTGCAGCATGTAGCGCAGTTAGCGACCGCATAAACAAGACTATACCTGAAGTTTATTTAACTAGATTGTTGGCGGCTAAAGGAACTGTACACAAATTTGTTGATGATTTTTTTGCTACGATACTAACTGTAAATGAAGAATTACCTCCGTCTGTGAAATGGCTATTTGATCTACTTGACGAAGCCGCACGAAGATACCAAATTGTCGACACAGAAATACTCCAAGCATGGAAGTCAAACAGTTTACCGTTGCGGTTTTGGGTAAATTTTATAAAGAATCCAGACTTTATATTTGATGTAAATAAAACAGTAACCTTGGACTCTTGCCTAAGTGTAATAGCGCAAACTTTTATGGATGCGTGTTCAACAACTGAGCATCGACTTGGGAAAGATTCTCCTTGTAACAAGTTGTTATTTGCAAAGGTTTGTACCGAATATGCTGTTATATGTGGTGGTTTTATACAATTTTTATATTTTTAGGACATTCCGCAGTATCGTAAGATGGTTAGACAATTTTATCGCGATATCGCTCGTTTGCCTCAAATCAGTGATCAAGAAATTAGTACAGCTATGCAGCAGTTATCAGTGCAACAGAGTGATGAGTTTGACACGTTAGTGGCGTTAAAAGAGCTTTATATATACGTTACAAAATATTGGGATGAGGTAAGTTTAACTAAGCAGTTTATGACATGAATCTTGCAGTTTTCATATAAAATCCCTGCACACGAATAATATACCACAATAGTTAGTTGTTATGATAGAAACAAATTATAGTGGTAAACACTGTTTTTGCCCCACGGATTTCCAGAGAATTTTATGTATGTTGGTGTGCCCTCATTAACAATCAATACGTAGTATTAAAGAAAGTCGATTTTTCTGTTCCTGTGTCCCTTTTATGCTTAAATCTTTAAAACAACGCAACGGATTTTTGAGAGTTTTTTTAAATATATAGAGCGGTTGAACAAGAAGGTTTATATGTATAATAACTTCCATTAATTATTGGAACAATGCTGTTATTTTTTAGATTTTTAATTTGATGTAAAAAATTACATTTTTTTCATTTACATTGCAAACGCAGGCCTACGAGATTTACCAAAATAATATACTAAGCACCGTTTGAAAAGTTTGGGGTGCCAGCAAATAATACTAACTCAGATTTAACTAACAGTTCTGAATACACAATCATACGACCAAATGAGACTTCTACAAAATATAGCTTAAGATGAGCGATGATTAAACATCGAACAAAAAAAACGTGCTCACTGCATTACTATCAACCATTAATAACAATTAAGGGAAATTGCATTTCAGTGATGCCCCAGGAGGTACATGAAAAAAATTTTTAATCACTCTCCTTTTAAGAAAAGTGAGATCTACCGAAAAAATTGCGTTAGCTCTTGACTCATCCTTCATTACCGCTACACTTTTGGAAGGAGGCCGATCACTCTACATTCAAGCTCCCGCTGAAAATTGCCACCGAACAGCGTCTGTACTGTTTCTAAACAGAGCAATACAGGAAAATTGATGCGTGACTGCTCATTAATAGTCCGAGACGAAGCTGCCATGTCAAACAAAACGTCTGTGGAAGTACTGGATAGGACAATGTGCGATTTGCGTAACAAAAATACACACAAAGGTGGATGTACAACTCAGGAGATTTCCGTCAAATAATACCAGTTGTGGCTCGAGGAACACGTTCTGACGAAATAAATGCTTCCGTTAAAAGATTCAACCTTTGGCCACATAACAATAGATTAGAGCTCAAAACTAATATTATATTAGGGGTTCGTCATCTTCACGTGAGAACATACCATTTCCAGCGCGCTGCTTAAAGTTGGCAATGGAGAGTTAACACAAAGTGAGGGAAGGATTGACCTAGAAAACCTTTATGTTTTGATACACAACAATGTCATCCTGACAATAATAACATAAGTTATAACACAATATCTTGATTTAAAGAAAGAGCGATTCTGTCACCAACTAACGAACAAGTAGATAAGGTATTTACATTGATTCTTTTAGGAATTGATGCGCCGAGCAAAATATACTTCTCGGTCGATACTGTTCGCCATTTGGAAGAAGCTATTCATTTCCCTACAAAATTTCTAAAATCTTTGAATCCATCTGGACACCCTCTTCACAAAATGGTGTTAAAAATGGGTTGTTGTCAGGTAAGATCACTGAAAACTTTCATAATAGAGTGCACAATATCATAGGATGTGGTACCGGAGAAGATGTATTGATTCCCCGAATCCTTCTGATACCATCGGATTTACCCCTCCAATTTAAACGATTACAGTTTCCGGTACAGACATTTTTCGAAATGATCATTAATAAATCGCAGGGTCAAATCTTCAACGTTGCAGGCTTAGATTTGAGCGTTGACTGTTTTTCACATGGTCAACAGTATGTCGTTCTTTTAACTTCTAGAGTAAAAAGGTTTGTATTGTCTAATTACAAGAAAGCTATGAACGTTGTATACCCTAAAGGCGTTCTAACATATATATTAACTGTTGCACAAATGAAATAAATAGGAACAAATGTAGTGTATGAATTTATATATTCCAAAGATAGTAAGAACTCTTCATGGTTTAGGAAAGAGGTATTGTTTTGCTCCAAATTAAACGCGTGCCGGCGACAGGCAGTAATGAGCCAAAAGCTCTGTGCAAAGTGGGTGCCTCGTTCATAATCTAAACGACTAAACAACGAATTGCTGACTGTTCTTGCTCTTTCGTCTCTTTCCAACTTAGAAAAACTCTTTTTAACGACTGATTTCCCTGGTGCAGAGCCCTAATTCTACAGTATTTTCTCCCAAAAAGCAATGCTTTATTAACACACGAAATATTTATGATTCATTTTTTTGTAAACTAACACATGTTGCTTCACAAAAATGCTATATTTCATTGACTAATAGTTATAATCCAACTAATAGAAATAATATAGATGTAGTTGAGGAGTAGTATTATTTATGTGTCAGCCACAGTAAAACGTGGACGGGTCCTCTAATATATAATATTCGTAATCTTGTTTTTTTTTTTTGTGACTGTCACATAATAATTTCTGTCTACTATAGTTTTTTTAATTACTTGGTTTATACGTCTGTATAACTATTGCATTCTACTAACTTGCATCATATATAATATAAGTATACGTGTGTAAACATCTCACATGTTCTAATGACCCCGACAGCTTTTTTTATGTTTATGTAGAATTAACTTTTTAATCTCACCATCGTAAACTCACGTCATTCAGGAGTGTTGGGGAATCCAAGAATTCAATTCTGATTTTCAATGTGTCACTGAATATTTTTCGATTTTCGTCTTTTCGAATATACGCAAAAACAATATTCAAATCAGCTGTTTGTAAATGTGACAAGTATTGTGAAAGCAATCCTAATAAAATTTTCAATTTTAACTTTCGTTTTAGAACAAGAAAAAATTAAAAGGAAAATATTAAGAGATCACAGTAACCCACTTGATGCCACAGGAGAATCGTAAGTGGAATTTAGCTTGTACAGTAGGGTGGGTCGATTCCGGACTTTTTTCGATTCGGGATTTCTAATAGTGCGGAAAAGTTGCCTTAGTATTTCCTGATTCCAATGCAACTTTTTGTTTTGAGATCGGTTTGCATCTTCAACCCCAAGTTATTTGTCACGTCATTTGCTACCGAAATGGTATAAGTGATCATGGCCGTAGGACGAACCGTTCCCGAGATACGATCGTAAATGCGGCGCGCCACAGCGCAAGGTGAAAATCGGCTGGCGGCCACACTTCTTGACGTTGATTTCGCCGAGTGCTATCACTCACATTCATTCACTTACTCCAAAGGACGGATAGGTCTCCACACAAATATTTTTTCATCGAGCTCCTTCACTCTTGTCAGTGATTTCGCCGAGTGCTATCACTTATATTCTCTCAACAGAAYACAGAACTCAAAATGTCTGTATCTAAATTTAAATTWAGACWGAAATGTCCTGTGTTTGGCATATATCCGTACAATCTCTCTGAGTCCCAGTTACCTACTTACCAGCATGTTCTTTTGTGTTATCAGTTTGAAAGATTTCGTATAGAGTGACTCCGAGACGACAACTATGAACCTAGGAGTAAAGAGGTTACAGAAATAGCTGCAAAAAGGGTTGAAAATACTTTCAAAAAGTCATCTATTCCGATATTTTCACACACCAGAGTTGTACAAATGCTCACCACATACCAGAGGAACTTCTGACTCTTAAACAAATGTTTTTAAGGAACCCAATAGGTTTGAGCTCTAAAAAAAACGAGTTTGTCTCTTCTGCCGGAAAATCATTTGACATCGCTGCTTGTAAATGCATTTATTTTTCTTCTTGCDCTTGTCCAAAGGAAAGGAAAGTTCCTATCAATGAACAACCATTTCTCTTGGACCAGAGAACCAGAAGAATTGGTCGCATTGGAAGTGTTGATCTACCTGAAACAAAAATGATTAGAAAGAAAAATGAACGTAAAGAAATGCTTTCAAAGCGTCATTCAACATCAACACTTACCAGAAAAGTATCAGCTAGAACACGTGASCATTCAGATCAGCCAGACTCTCATACAGACGACAACAATGTAGATGCTGATGATGAATTTTCTCTTCCATCCTCTAAAACCAAACAAAMCACACTAGTATTAGAACACACTGCTTTAGCTGCCCAAAGATTTGGAGTAAGTGATAGAGCAGCGGAATTGATTGTTTCACCTGATATTCTGGATGCCAAAAAAGCAGGTTTGATAACATAGGATCAGATTAGCTTTGTCACTGAAAAATGCAAGATTAGTCGGGCAAAAAAAGGTGTTGGAGTTAAGCTCCAAAACACCGAAAATGTTGATTCTGTATATGGGCTGTATTTTGACGGCCGCAAAGACAATACACTTACACAAGTCAGCAAAAGTGAAAAGTACTACCGCGACACTGTCAAAGAGGAACATATTTCTCTTATAGCAGAACCTTGTTGTCATTACTTTGGCCGGGTCAGCTGAGGATGAGACGCAAGCTATATGGCAACATTTACAAGACAATTCAATTGATGTGGAACATCTTGAAGTTGTCGGTGCTGATGTCACGAACACGAACACAGTTTGGAAAGGTGGAATCATTCGGAAACTAGGAGAAAGAATAGGTAGGCCATTACAGTGGGTTGTTTGTCTTCTACATTTCAACGAACTTCCATTTCGTGCTCTTTTCGAACACATAGATGGTGTCTCAAAGAGTCCAAATACATTCTCTGGCGACATAGGTAAAATGCTCTCTGATTGTGAGAAGTTGCCTGTTGTCAAGTTTGAAAGTTTTCCATCCTGCCAATTACCTTCTGAGGTTATTAATCCGACCCAACTTAGCACAGACCMAKYYTATCTCTATAAAATATCAGAAGCTGTTATTTCCGGTCAGTGTTAGTCAGATTTAGCGTCGATGCATCCAGGTAACATGTGCAAATCTCGCTGGCTCACCTGCGCAAATAGATTTCTGAGATTATACATTTCTATTGACAAACCAACAAAGGAAATACAGATTTTGGTCAAGTACATACTTACAGTTTACTCACCTTTGTGGTTCTCAATAAGATTCAACTGTTCAATCAAAGATGGCTCGCGCCATCTCTATGCTGAGATTCAAAGGTCGAGATACTTACCTGCTAAACTGCGCAA